TGATAATGAAGACGATGACGACGACGAAGATGATGATAATAGTAATAATAGGTCCGATAAGAAAGCTCTGAGAAAAGTCACTGATGTTAGAAGAGGTCGGGCAAAAGGTCCGAGAGGTCGTAAATTACCAAGCAGTGTTCAAGACCCTGTCATTGTGGAAGAACAGAAGTATAAAGTATTTATCTCTGATTGTTGGCAAATTGGTTTCCTTGAAAAAAATGAAGCCGCAATTACTGCTGAGGCTACTGCTGAGAAGCAGACAAACGTCGATGACGAAAAACAAAAAGAAGATGTTGGAGAGAATAATGAGGAAGACGAAGAGCTGCTTAAAGTCTCTGGAGCTAAAAATTCTTCTCAAATCAGTTTGTCAGGGGAAACTTCCAAATTCATCAATCGTCTTAATGCAGAGAAATCTAATGATAACGATAAGGATAATATAGGGACTACAGACTCAATCGGAAATGACAACGAAAGTGAAGCCAAAATGCAAGAAAGGGAAAATCTTGATGTATCTACAAACACAGTTAACAGTTCTCAGCCAGAAGAGGAATATGTTGATGCAGATCCAAAAAGTGATTTAATTTCCGAAAATTTTGAAAACGACAATGAAGAAGCCGAACTGAAAAAAATACCGGTTACAGAAGAAGAGGCAATAGCTGAACTATTAGATGATTACGGAAATAATTCAGATGGAGAAGTAGAAAAAGACAATGCGTGAAATTTGTTTTCTTTTTTTGTTTTTTTTTTTGTTTTTTTCTTCTTCTTCTTCTTCTTGTCATGCCTTTTAAAAAACTAAAACTAAGTAGCACGGTTTCTATGATTGTGTTTTTGATTCTTTTTTTGGTTTGTTTGTTTACAATTTTATCTATTTTATGCATTTATGACTTAAAAGATAGCAAACAAAGCTTTTCTTAATCGGAATCGGTACTATAGACTGATAACCAAAAAGGGAAAATGTAATCCGGAAACTTGGGTTACTGCTTCCAAGCCTCATTTAACCGAACAAAACCCTTAAATAATCCCTCTAAACGGTGGGAAAATATCTCGTTATTCTCATAATCGGACATTGTATTGTTTATAAATTTATAAAATTTATGCATAAGCGTGCATATGCTTTAGCTTGCACCGAGACCGAACGAGTCTGTTTTAGAGCGGGCATTGGAGATCCTGATGAAAAATTTTTCCTTATTTGCCTGCAACCCATTTATTTATTTACCTTATGTTTCAAAAACTTCTTTCTTTCTTTCTTTCTTCTGTCTTTGTATCTTTGACTTTGGTGATTTGCAAATCCTATTATTCGATCGCTATTCAAAGTTTTGGTCTGTCGTTCGTTTTTCTTTAGTTCCCAAACTTTGTTCTATAGTTACTCAAGACTTATTTTTTGCTTTTTTTTTTCTTTTTTTTCTTTTTTTTCTTTTTTTCTTTTTAATTTTTCCAAGTGTATATTTGGATAGAGTAAATAACGAAGCCAAAATTTAAAAGAAACAGAAAATGAAGGTATTACAATTAGTTCAGGCTTTGTTAGCTACTTCAGTTTTAGCAGTTCAAGCTGTACCCATCATAAATGTTACAGGTAACGCATTTTTTGATTCTGAGTCTGGTGATAGATTCTACATTAGAGGTGTCGACTATCAACCAGGTGGAAGTAGTAACTTGTCTGATCCTTTAGCTGATGAGACCACTTGTGAAAGAGATATTCCTGTATTCACTGATTTGGGTATTAACACTATTAGAGTTTACTCAGTTGATAATTCCAAAAACCATGACGCTTGTATGAAATTACTTGAAGAGGCAGAAATTTATGTGATCTTGGATGTAAATACTCCAGACGCTGCTATTTCTAGAACTTGTCCAAGTGGAAGTTATAACGCTGAATATCTTCAAAATGTTTTTGCTACTATAGATAGTTTTCAAAACTTTACCAATGTCTTGGGTTTTTTCGCTGGTAATGAAGTTATTAATAGTGTAAACACCACTGATGCAGCACCATACGTCAAAGCAGTTGTTAGAGATATGAAAAATTATATGGATGCTAGATCATATAGAGCCATCCCAGTTGGTTATTCTTCAGCTGATATTGCTTCCATTAGACTTGATATTGCCGAGTACTTCAATTGTGGTAACGATAGTACTGCAAGAATTGATTTCCTAGGTGTAAACGATTATTCGTGGTGTGGTTACTCTTCTTTTACCACATCTGGTTATGCTGAAAAAGTTGAATTATATTCTGGTTACTCCATTCCAATATTCTTGTCAGAATTTGGCTGTAACGAAGTCACTGGTTCTAGACCATTTACTGAAGTAGGAGCCATTTATTCTACCGAAATGTCATCAGTTTTCTCTGGTGGTTTAGTTTATGAATATTCTGAAGAAAGCAACGATTATGGTCTTGTTGATATTGTATCATCTACTAATGTTACCAAATTAACTGATTTCTATAACTTGAAAGATGAATTTGAAGAAACTGATGATCCTTCTGGCGATGGTGGTTACTCTGATTCCTATAATTATTCTACATGTCCTGATTGGGATGTCACTACAACTTTACCTTCTATGCCTGAAGGCGCTGAAAAATATCTTACAAGTGGTGCTGGTACTGGTGAAGGATTTGAAGCTTCAACTGAATACTGTGATTCTGAAGATGATGAGGAAACCAGTGACTCTTCAAGCTCGAGTACATCAAAAACTGCTTCGGCAACACTGTCTGCTCTGCTGTCTTCATCTGTATCTTCTTCTTCATCTTCTTCAAGTTCTTCAAGTGCTGCAGGTGTCACCTTCTCTGCTCCATCGATTTTTAAAATATCAGAGTTCAATAGCTTTGCTACTCTGATTGCAACTGTTGCCATTTTCGTTGGTTTTACATTCTTATTCTGATGATTCCCTCATAATTAAAAATGAACTTATTCCTAGAACCATTTCATCAAAATTGGCCAATACTTTACAATTACCTAGAAGGACTTCTACAGGATTATTTAGATATCTTAAAGCCGGCTACACATTTATATCGGGAAGAGGTTACGTTTCCTTAACTGGTATTGGTCAAGTTTATCAAGTTTCCTTGAAAGAAAATGAAGAGTTTTTAATTCAAAGAGATAATTTATTGGCATTAACTATTAATGGTGAATCAGATTTAGCTAGCGCGGTTACTTCTTATAATTTCTCTGGGAATCTGAAAAGACAAAATAAACCAGTTGAAACACAACCGGGATCCGCACTTGAACCTAACTTAGGATCTAAAATTCATCAATACTTAAATCAAGTGAAATCATCTTTGAAATTTACTACAAATATTGCTACTTCTTATTCCAACAAGATTTATAACTCATTAACCGGTAACAATAATTTTGTCAAAATTTTAGGACCTAGAAATATCTTGTTACAATCAAATTCAAATTTCCAATTAACCAGTGGTATTAGAAATTTTAATCGTGCCATCGACCTTAATGAAATCACAAAAACTGAAAAATTAATCAAATCTTCACACGAATTTTCTCAACCAAAAAAGTCATCTGCAGATTATTTAAGTTATGTAACTGTTAAAGATGGCAAAGCTGAGTTTAGAAATACTCCTAATTTTAATGACACCGTTCGCAAAATTGAAGAAGCTGCAACCAAGAAAGTATGATTATACTAATATTCCCTTTTCTTATAATTCCCATACGTATATACTTTAGATTTAAATGCATTTACAATGAATGAACTAGACTTTTTTTTTTTTGATAGTTACTTTAGATTTTATATTGTTTTTAAAAAATATTAAAATGATCTTTTTAACATGAAAAAATTACGTACTTATTATAAAAAATGTGCAAGTCTAAATAATCCAGAAAGGCCAAAAAAAGGGTATGTTTTGTGTATGAGATATTTTAATTATCGTCATAGTCACAGTTCACCACATGAAATAAAAAATAAAGTTAAAAGTATATATATATATATATATATAGAAATGTATGTATGTATGAGTGAATGATTGGTTTTAATTCTATCCGAGCCGTAGCCTATATCACATCTAAGCAGACATAATTATGCTCTTGTTGGGAAAACTGCCCAGTCAATTCTTCCATCAAGTGACAAATTCACAAAAGATTTTTCAGAAACTGAAGTTTTAATAAAAAGTCTTGATAAAAAATTTTTTCTAGAATCAGTGGAAACTAAGACATTAAATGGTACTGTTGAAATTAATTTTTTATAACTCGATGTGAACCCTCCATAGAAAAACCTCTTAATAGGAGAAATTATTTCCAACTGACTAGTAACTGAGCTAATTGAATTATTGGTTTTTTTACCTGATATAGAAGAACCATATAAAGATACCAATGACCCATTTTTAATATATACTGGAACAGATGGTGGTAAATTGAACGATAAAAGTGAAGACGTATTACCCATTTTTTGAAATTGTGGGTTTGCAGAATCTGGAACATTCAAAGTAATCTCTTCAACCCCATTAGAGCCATTGTTATTAACATCAAAGTTAATGGATGTAGTACGTGATGAATTTCCAGTAGAAGACAATTGTGATATCGAAACACTCCGACGAAATGCAAGTTGCCGGACACTTTTCAATTCATGTGAAATTAAACTCTTCTTCATCATCCCATTAGTAAGAGTAAGACCGGATCACCATATATAATTTACTATCAATAATACCCTTCTTATTTTATTTTTTTTTGTTGGTAAATATGATTCCTTAGCCATTGTAGTTTGTTACGGTGATGAAGATGAAGCCTAGCCAGCATCTCCACCTACTATTTTGGGCCAAGTGGTACTTAACCTTTCCCACTATCCGTTCGACTATTGGTCAGATAACGAAAAACTTGTAAATTTGGTCAGATCAAGCCAGTACCATTAGAAACTTCATTTTGAATCTTCTAGGATCAAATGCCTTCAAGGCCCTGATATGATCTTAACTGAAGCTGAACCAATTGAATGGTATTATTCTCTTCTTACTCCAGAGAGGATGATTTGATTGATGAAACAAGGAAAAAAAAAAATACAATTGCTCCCGGCGGGGATTGAACCCGCGACCATCGCGTTCCTCACACGAATCTAACATAGAATGTCAAGATTTGAACAACTATAAGCACGAAGCGCTAACCTCTGCGCCACAAGAGCAACTGCATGAGCCAGTTGTTCAGAGGTTGCATACTTGAGCATACTTTCCTACGCTCAATTTTTTGTTAAATTTTAAAATTAATACTAAATACTTTCAACTAGTGGTATAAGTAAGTTATTAGATTTCTTTTTTTTTTTGCTTTTTAAACCCATTTCTGACATTTCCGCAGAGATTGAGAGAGTAACAAAAAGGTGAGAAGTTCATTGTAGTGTTTATAACGTACTAGATTAATAATAATAATAATAATTTAAAAAATTTAAATAGTAAATAGCATAGTTGGAATTTGGTTATTGCTCATTGATACTTGAATTATTTTAGCCATATCTTCGCTTACGCACCTGCTCCTGTGGCGCAGAGGTTAGCGCTTCGTGCTTATAGTTGTTCAAATCTTGACATTCTATGTTAGATTCGTGTGAGGAACGCGATGGTCGCGGGTTCAATCCCCGCCGGGAGCAGAAGTGTTTTTTT